TAAAAACCTTTGGTCAGATATACTCAATACTACTATTTTAGCAAAATCTTAGTCTAAGGATCCTACAATGTGGACGAGTTTTCAAAGTCACTAGAAATGGTTGTGTTGTACTACCTGAACTCACCAAACATAATATAGTACTGGGATTTTCCATTCAGGTTCTTCTGATCCACGTCTGCAGGGAAAACCTTAATGTAGCCCCCTCCACAGTCCATCTTCTGCTCGTGTTTCACTGTGTACTGAATGACCAGTGTCTTCCCTTTATTGCTAAATGGTTTGAACCGTGCAGAGATGGCGTAGAATCGGCCATTTTGAGTGGTTTGCAGACCTTCAAACAAAAAGCACTCATGAAGGATTAGGAATGACATGATACTCAATGTTGCAGGAAATTAAATAGTTGTCTTTCCCCTACCCTAAATAATAAACCTCACGACCACTTATGTCTATTCAGTGCCTGTAGCTTTTTTATACAATAATATACAATGGACACACCACTAACAGGCTCTCTACTGCCACAGAACTTATATTTGACACACTCAGATGTTTTTGTACTTAATACACCATTGTTATGTCTTATGTTATAAAAACACTTCAGCTCTGAATGACAAATATGCAATCTAATTATAGATATAAGGTTAATTTTGCTTCCATTCATCTTCCAAGGGGGTGGGAATATACAAGGAAGCTTATGCAGCAACTGAATTTAAAAAGAAAAGCATTCTACTTCTTTTTCTTAATTCTCATCTTAAAAACAGCGACTTAAGACACAAAACGGCAAATGGAGGACAGAGTGCTGGTCTGTAAAGAAGTGTTTCACTGCACTGGGTGAGCTGGCCCATGGATGTCATCTGTGTGATGGCTCTTTTATAAAGATACCGTCCTTTTGTCATGTGAATCATCTCATATTTGTTTTATAAATTTGTGTTCACGTCAAGAACAAAACTCCCCTTTTCAATAGACACTGGGCTCTGTACCAAATCATCTTATACTGGAATTCATCAGACAAACCTAAAAACAGAGCCAGTCTTACTATAACCTAGCCTTCCTCGCTTCAGATTCTGGCCCTCATAGCAGTCTACACGGTCATCATAAATGAACTTGGCATTTTGTATCAACAGGTCCAAGCCTGAACTCAGGGCTGACTTCCTGCTACTGCACCTCTCTGTGTTTCCTGTTCTTTCCTCACCCTTCCCTTTCTCAGGGGATTCGTAGCTCCTCCTAGGCCTCTACCATCCAGGCAGTTCCTAAATTCATATGACTCACTGTCTCCCTCTGTATCTTACCACCCTTCTCAGCCACTCCCATGGTTTCTTACCACCTCCCATCTCTGTCTGACTAAATTCTATTTATCTTTACATCCATGGCTTCTATGTCATGGTCCCAGGAGACCATAACAGAAGAGGCCAAATTAACTGGTATCCTCAGTGCCTTGCCCATGTCTGCATTTAGTAGACATGTGCTGGAGTGAATGAAATGCACAGAATCTCAGGATTCCAGCTTGGGGAAAGGAAAAACACTGTGGAGAAAAAAACAAGTGGGAACCCCTGCCCTTGGACAAACAAACAGGAACCCCTGTTTGTTTTTAATCCATTTGTCATATAGCCTGAATTTTGACCAACTCTTTGGGTCAACATGTAACTTATAAAGCAATGGACATACAATTGAAAACCAGAGGCTGCTGGACAGGGTAACACTGGGCCAAGATAAAGGCTGAGTGGGAGGTGGTAAAGAGGAACATTTTTCATCTAAATAAGAGGTTGGCAAACTTTTTCTATAATGTGAGAGAGTATTTTAGACTTTTTGTGTCAGCCATTTGGTCTCTGTCCCAACTACTCAATTCTGCCTTTGCAGTATGAAAGCAGCCAAAGACGATATGTAAATAAATAAGCATAGCTGTGTTCCATTAAACTTTCCTTTATAAACACTGAAATTTCATATATTTCATTGAATTTTGTATAATTTCTACATGTCACGAAATACTACTCCCCTTTCAATGTTCCTCCAACAATTAAAAAATGTAAAAACCATTCTCAGCTTGCTGGCTGTACAAAAAAAATGGTAGATGAGCTGTAGTTTGTCCCCTTCGATCATCAAGAACAAGAAGAAGCCAGAATAGAGGTTATCCTTGGCACCAGGAGGCTACTGACTCAGAGGATGGGGGTAGAAGGGGGGGGGGCTTTAGGAAGGAGGGGCTGAAAAATGTTCCCTAGTTTGACCTGTGTGTACAGATGTAAACATTCATCCTGTTGTATCCTGTAAGATTTGTATACTTGACAACATCTAAATTTTACCTTGATTTTTTTCTTCTGAAAGTGAAAATAAGAAGTATCCTCTTTTTTCCTGGGGCCTGGGGTCTCCGTAGTGCCTACAAAGCGGGGTGATCTTGGGCAAGTAAAGAAAGGACAAAACAAAAAAATGCCAAACCCTACCTGTGCCTTAGTATCCTCAGCTGTCAATGGGTCTAAGGGGTGTTTGCGGTGAGCCACACCTACCTTGAAAGACTGCTATGGAGGACTTAACATTTAGCTTGATTTCCTCACGATTCCTACACTAACCTTTGTCTTTCTCTTTATGGCCATAAAATTTCCCCGACGAGAGTCTAAAATGCCCAAATTGGGAGTCATTAGTGGATTGCACCCATCGGTTCCTCCAGCGCTCTGTAGAATGAAATAACACTAGTTAGGGCTGAAAACTGTTAATCTGGGTCATGGGGAGGGTCACAGGGCTCCTCGAGGCTTCGAAGCTTCGAGGCTTAGCCTCAACCCATTCCGCTGCGACGCGCCAGGGCCAAAGGAGACTCAGGCCATCCCTTGAGCTGCGGGGAACTGAGGAGCTTACGCCCCCACCGCACCACGGGCATCGCCCCTTCACCTCCGTCTAGAAATTCCTCCTGGAAGTAGACGGTTGCCAGCGCCACCCGCAGACCACAGACCGCCAAGACCAGGACATGAGCAGCTGCCATGAAGCGTACGCGGCACTTCTTGTAACCGCCTCTTTGCTCCCAGCGGTCTCCGCGGCCTGCCGGGCCCACGCCGGAACTACAACTCCCGTCACGCCTCGCGATTGTGACCTGAGGCATCATTGGTCCCCGATGAGCGATGTACGCCGACCCCGAACTACCTCTCCCATGAAGCCCCGCGACTGTGACCTGCGGCGCTATTGGTCCTCGGGGGGCGCGGTGCCCTCTGGGAAATGTAGTCACTTCCGCCCTGGCGCCGTTGCCGGGGCAACGGTCATTTTGGTCTGAGTGCCCCGCGAAGATCGAAGGCGGCCTCCACGGATGGACGTCCTGAGAGGAGGTTGGCAGGACTGGCTGGGCGGCGGCTGGGCTTGGGAGAGGAGTTGTGGGGAAACAGGGCGCGCTACGGGTCTGAGCTGGGAGGCCTATCCCCCCACCCCACCCCCGTACTCCCCCTTCCGGCGC